ACGAACAATACTAAGGAGGGGCAGTGTTGCGTCATCGAGGTCACGTGACGCTGGTAACACGTCATATTCTCGAAGCTTCGTGAATTCTCGGGAGGTTACTAGACTTCGGTATTCTTTTATATAAGAATATAAGTTGAGTGTATCGGTAAAATTGTATTCGGAAAGAATAAACCAGTTTTATTAAGTAAAGAATTTGTGTCGCAAGTTTCGTCGGAACGAAGTTACGGAAAGTTAATTAACAAACGGAGACGTAACAGAGACATATAATCGAGTCAAGTGAGCGGTAGTGACCGTAATTAAAGTGTGTGAATCGTTGTAAATTATAGCGTGTGTTTAACTTAAATTGACTGTGGAAATTCTGTGTATTGCAAAGTTGTATTGAGAAAGAATAAACTAGTTTTGTTTAAGAAAGGACTTGTATCGCTGAAGTTCCTCGGGAAGAATTTATACCAGAAATTAACAAACGACCAGAGACGTAACAAAACTTATAGCGAATATTTTCAGGCTATAATAAAAGAAGTTACTTTAGTTATCACTTATATACTTTCGAGATTTGATTCTTTTTCATTAGATAATGTGTCAGTCGTAAAGAAATTATATTTATTATTAAACATTTCCCTAATAAATGTTAATCACTTTTAATATTAAGGTGAAATGAAGTGCAGAGTCAGTCACCTTATTAGCGCGCTGTGGTAACGTCGAGTACGCAAAAAAAAAACCTGAAAAGTGTTGAACGACTGACAGCTGGTAGGTCTTATGCATTGTGTTAAATTATAATTTACAAACACGTACATATTAATTTGAAATAATGCTTTTATATAAAATATCCTATTGTTCGATACACTGTTCACTAGGCAATCAGTTGTTCGATGCCTTTACCATTTGGCCCATCCAATATTAGTAGTCGTACTAGTACTCGGTGGTAGAGCTACCGGCATTACAAATGAGCGCCATTACAGCTGCAGATTAATCAATGTGAATGTGATATAATGGCAGCAAAAATGAACTTATGCTCGCACACTGGCAAAAATAATGCAAAGGCAGTTATTTATATTAAAGATATTATTAATAGAATAAATACAATTTCTATATAATTTGAATTGTTTGCTTTTAATTGTTGTCATAGTACATTTTTTTATCATGCACCTTACTTCAAAATTCAATACTTCTAAGTTACGTAGATTGTTTCAGGCTGGCCAAGGCCTAAATTAGGTACTACACTAGTAATATTAGTATTAAATTCAGTAGTAGCACTATTAAGTACACTTAATATTTTAAATGGTAATAGTTCAGATTTGAACTTGTGATTAGTTTTTTTTTTCAATGCATGTATTGAATGTTTGTCATATTAAAAGTTAGTACCAATAATATTATGCTTATTGGTTAGCATTACACTTAGACTATTTCTAAACTATGTGAGTGTATCAGTGATTTTATTTTTGATTTATTAAGATTTATAGGCAAACGTTACACAGTATTGGACTACAACTAATACTACTGTTTGATTTTCTGTGCTATAACAGTCATGACATATGGGTACATTTTTTAACAATGTTTCAGTGAATACTCTTTCAGCTGCCACCCCTTCCTCAGTGGTTCAATGTTAAGTCTGAAGGCTTGTAATGCTGAAAACTGGGTTTTGATACCCATGGTGGGCACAGCACAGATAGTTTGATAAGTAGCTTTGCACTTAACAAATAAATACTTTTGATGTGGCAAATAGTGCATGTTTAAGTTATTAAATGTCAGGTTTTTATATATTACTAAATGTACTTTTATGTAGTGGCTTTTAAAACTAAGAATAGACTTTATAGCAGGACAGTTGTGCAAAATAATTAACATTTATTTCAACCAACTAAAAGATTAATAGAAAGAGGTGCAGCATGGTATTCTGTAACAACCTAGAAATTGTTTTGTAAAAAAAGATGACACTTTCATATTATATCATGTTAAGAATTAGGCTAATTCATATTTAATGTATCTAATCAAACAAGATTGCATTGTTAGGTTTTTTCCAGTGAATTTGAGAGTAATTTCAAACTCATTTGTAGGCAATACAGTTCATTAAAATGCTTCAGATTCTGCTGTTAAGTTTTTCATAAGCAAACATACATGTCTTTATTATAACTGGAAGTTTTTTACCAGATTCATTTAAACATAGTGTTTTTAAAGTTTTAACAGCTCGAAATTATAAAGTTTTTAGTATCTTAACTGACTTTAAATGTGAGTTATCAAACATTATTTGGGTTCTTGAAAATAGTGGTTTTTCCTATTATAGGTATTAACTAAAATGTCAAAAAAATACAAAGTAAACTAAATAATGTTAATAACATTTTGCCTATTCAGACAATCCATAAATGTTTTATAACTCTAACAATCCCTTATGTAGATAATAAATCCTTGTTTTTAAGGCATAAAGTTGTGAAATTATTTAATGTGGCTTATCCTCAAATTCATATTAAATATATCTATGGGAACTCCTTTTGACTAAGAAACTTCTATCTTTTCAAGAATAAAGCCAATAAAATGCAGCAATCTCTTGTTGTTTATGAATACAGATGTTTGTTTTTTCTGCTTGAAAGGGAACATTGGGTCCACTACTAGATGTCTTTGGCAAAGGACTGTAGAACACTATACTTCTTCCATCAATAACAACTTGCATCTTTTACAGCATCCTATGGAGTGTGACTGTTATATCATATTTGAACACTTTGACATTCTATTTAAGCAACATATGAAAGAACATTAAAGTTCAAAGAGGCTCTGGCCAATCAAACCTTTCAATCAGAAATAAACATCATGGAAAAACTCTTTTAACATGTTAAAAAGAATAAAATTATATTAAGAATGGAGCTTGAATTTATAATTTTATTTTGAATCCAGTTTTTTTCTACTTGAACATTCTAGTACTTTACTTCCTATGATGAAGTTACTCCCCGAGTTGGCATGATTGTATTATTTTACAACCTTTATTCCATCTCATTCCTGACACCAGAAAAGTTTTAATCAAGTTTTATTATGGGAATTAAAACTAAAAATTTGAGTGCAAGTTCATGAAAAAGTGTCACTGTGAGTCACTTTATATGATGTTTACCAGAAGTTTTTGCCATATTGTCAGTTGAAATCATATGAAAAGAATGAGAAATAACAATCTCATCATATTGCTATTCCTTAAAACAATGCATCATCTATTCTAATTAACTGCAATAAAAATTATCAAGATGTAACCTAGAATTTGATGTTGAATTAAAATACACCTGGCTATTGATTCATTTCATTGAATTGTTTGAAATGAGAATTTTTTAGTAATTGCAATAAAAATTATGAAATGCAACTAAAATTTGATGTTACTTAAAAAAAAAAACTGACATCTGATTCATCTCATTAAATTGTTTGACATGAGCTCCTCCTCATCAAAGAGGTGTGGTAAATAAAGACTGCATTTTCTTGTAACTGTAATACTATTACAGACTTCTGTTTTAGATAATATAAGTACATTGTTACTAAAATGATCATCATATATATTTTTACTAACTTGGTTTATTAAAATGTTATTTTGTTTTTCACCTAGTGTTGCTGTGATAACCCAAACAATGAGGCCATCACTGACTGTTATACTGAGTGTTGTTTTTGTGAGCTATATTTTTCATTCTATCTGGACGATCTACCAACTTTACAATCCTAAACCTTGCCCTCCTAAAGAAAAATGTCTCAAACCATCTTGGAAAGAAACATCTAGGTTCCAGGTATTTCTATGATTGTTAAGAATTATGTTTGTCTTTCTTTGTTTATGTAGAAAATATTTTTTTATAATTTAGCTAATATAGACAAATAAAGCATTTGTATAAAATATTAATTACATTTTTATAAAGCTTTTCCTGGGCCTGTTTTCTCAGTTGTTGTGAGGGAGTTCTTAAGAAAGATATTTGTTTTACTATATTTTTCATTGATGGTTACAGATTAAACTGAGGAACTTGTTCAAAGTTGCATGGCCTACTATACTGAATGTTTTGCTTGTTGCAGTTAGTTTTAATCGAGGCCAGTAGGTGTGGGACTTCCCACGTAGGTATTACTGTAATGCAAACAAATGGAATTGAAAATGGATAAGCACTGCCTGGCTGCAATGTTTATATTTTTTTGCTGTAATTTAAAGAATTATATTTAGTATTATGTGAAATGAATTAATTGAAAACTTGGCTACAAAAATTGTCTTCTACATTGTTTTTTAATGTTCATGTGTATATCAGTTTAGGGTTTCATTGTTTTTTAATGTTCATGTGTATATCAGTTTAGGGTTTCATTGTTTTTTAATGTTCATGTGTATATCAGTTTAGGGTTTCATTGTTTTTTGCTGTTGTTTTTTAAGTTAAATTTCTTAAAATGATAAATGGTTTTTATATTCTTAACAACTATTTATCATTTTAGGTTGAGTTTACATTCCTATTGTTAAAAATGTTCTCTCATGTATTCGGAACTTCTAGTAAAGAAGAGGTTAAATTTTGTGCAGCTCTTTATTAAGTTGTACGAATAACATTTAACTTTCAAACTCAAGATGTGGGTTTGTTTCTTACTATAATACTCTGTAGGAGTAATAAATTTCTTGACCAATTATACAGTAAGTCATACTGATGTTATTAAATAGATTTATGAACAAAGGATTATTAAATGTTATTTCAAAGTTTCTATGTTTGCAATTGTAAAAGAATGTATGATGTTGTTTATATTACATTTGCAGTGCTTTTGAAACTGTGTTATCAAATATCAGGTGTTAACCGATACCCTTGATTACTTAAATTTGCCAATGTCTATATGAATTTTATGTTCATTATTATTTTCTTGTCACAGGTTTATCTGTGTACTTCTCTAAAACTTGAGGTGAAGAGGGAGTCAGAGTTAACTGTTGTTTGGTCTGATAATGACTTTGATATTAGTGTTTCAAAAGATATGTAAGTACATTATCTCTGCTGAACAACATAATTATTTTGAGCTTTTTATCAGGTTTATTTTAATACAGTCTTTACTGCAAATTCCTAAATTTACTGATTTAATTATTAATTAAAATAATATAAAAAATAATTAATTTGTTGTGAAAATTGCAGAATATTTATGAAAAATGCTAAAAATCTAGAATTTTAAAATTGTTTTACCATATAGTTTTACTAAACATTATGCTAATAGTTGTTTAATGACTTTTTAACATGTTTTAGTGTTTAAAAAAAAATCTTTAAAACTTGTATTTCATTTATTTTAGTCCTTTGAATATATCACTGCCTCGCAGCACCATAAGAAATGGATCTCTCAGCATACATGCTTTTATAACTCCTAAGCAAAACAGAAAAAGATCTCTCTCAGAACTTGTAGGTGATAGCAGGACTTCTCATGGTGGTGGTCTGTTGACAAAATATGTTGTTCCTACAAGTCAAGCATTTAACCTTCTGAAAAATGACCAGAACAAGGAGGTAATTTTAAGCCATAGTTTTCAAGTGACAGCTTTTGAAACTTAGGTAATGCAGATATATTTAAATACACACTTCAGGATATCAGGTTTATTTCTTCAGATATTTGTTGATATTTTTTTCTAAATTTATAATTAACTAGTATTCTCAGTGGTTGGTGCTGGTTAGGTAAGATTTAAGAGCTTATGTTATATTTTTGTATACCCCTTTTTGTAAAAAAATTTTTACATTTCCAATTTTTTTTATAATTATTTAATTTAGAGGTACAACTTTATTTATTTACCTCCTACCCCCGTAAATTCTTAAATGTACAGAATTACATTTGAAATCTCACTCTCTCACATTTGTAAATGAGCAAAATTTGTAAGAAGCATTTTACAGCTATTTTCTCGGATATATAAAACAAAGAAATATACAAAGTGTTGGTTTTCTATGAACAATTAAACAGTTGTTGAAAACAAATTGATACTGTTTGTGGCATGTCACCCATGTTTTATTTTATTGATCTGTTTATAGGATCCAAAAAAACAGCAGGTAGAAGATGAAAGACCATTTACCCACTGGAAACCTAACTTTGCTTTTCACGTAATGTTTGAACCTTTACCATTGTACAAAAATAACATCCCTGGAGAAATCTTCCATCTCCTAGTGTAAGTTTTTGAAATTTGTTTTGATTCAACTTGATTTCTACTCAATGCTATTAAAAAAAGTCCTGAAAAATTGTGATGTTTTTAAACCCTCTTAACCACAGAGCACCTCTTACTTGTCACAAGTGCATATCAGATTTTAAAATGTAAGTAAAATTAATAATCCTAACTGTTATTTCAACAATTTTTACTTCAATAATATTTTAGAATTTATATTTTGTCTTTGTGTAAAATTTATTTAGTGTAATGCACTAAGAAAAATGATAGAAATGTTCCAAGTATTATTTCTGCCCAGCATCAAGGAGTCTTGCCTATAAACATGAATTGTTGATTTTTTTTTTTTAAATTATGCCCCTCCCAAAATATATGTTTATATATTCGCTAAGGAATTATCATCCCTTCTAAATATAATGATTCATGGTGTGTATTTCATGGGACTTTTTTTCTCTATTAATGGTTTCATTGGTACAGGCCTGTGTTGAAACTCTTATAATGTCACAGCTTGTAGTCTTAACAACTACTGTTGAAGTTCAGCTTTGGAAATAGCTTGAGCCAACAACTAAATACTATTATATGAAGCAGATTAGAAACTGTGTACATCAGTGTAGAATAAATAATTTGGTATGAACAGCAGTTTGTGGTTTTTTGAAATATTGACTACATGGAGCTCCTGTCAGGATAAACAAAGGAATCTAATGGGAAACTTAGGAACAAACTGTAGGTCTAGGAATTTTTAATAATTTTTTTTTGTAAATTCTTTTTATTCTTGAAAATGTTTTATTGTAAATTATATATATTTTAAAGTAACAGAAATGTTATTGAATGTCATCGAGTAAGCTTAGATAGGTAACCGTAAAATACTTCAGTGACCTAAATCCTTATTTATGGAATATTATTGTAAAGTTAACTGTATTAAATAAAATACTTAAAATACACTTACTGTTTATTAAAAAGAAATTATATTTATTTGATATAAATTGATCTTGACCAAAAATATTGTTAGCAAAATCATAATGCCTAGTTTTACAAAGATTACAGTGATGCCATTTTGAAAGGTGAGGTTGTATGTAACCAATAAATCTTTGACAGTTTTTGCCATGTTTTTTACAATTTATAACCAGAAATGATAACTACTGCAGTTGATTAAGTATCAAAAGAATATAGTAATGAATATGAGTCAAAATGAAACTAATAAATTGGAACATTGTAATGAGCAATAAAAAATATTGAAATTCCAAGATGAAAGGAAGTATTTTTAACATTTTTTCAACAAAATATTAGGAATTTCATAACATAAAAAATATTATAGAAATATTAAAACCACTTTCATTTAAGTAGAAACTAGATACTCTTTGGTCTGGAAAGGGTTAAGTGAAGTAAACATTATTTGTTTTGTACTTACCAAAATAGTTTTAAAATTGAATTGGTTTTAAGAAATTTTCTTTAACCAAATTTGCATCAACTGAAATGAAGAGTTAGGTAAGTACACAAGTATTTTTGAAATGGCATTTATGAGACATGCTATTTAAAATATTTGGTTGAGGACAACTTCATGCAATTAAATTATGAAACGGTACCACCTCCTCTCACCCAAAGCTTTCTCAACCTTGATTTGCCTTCTAAGCATTGTTAAAAATGTTTTGCTTGCAGCACATCAGTCTATTTTACCACTTTATTTTCAGAATGTGTATATCATGTGACTACCCTCCACCAATTACACTGCACCACCTGTACTAGCACAGGTATCTCCCTCTACACAATCCTCACATTCTTGATTGGCATTGTAGTGTATAGATGTGTGTTTTAACTCGTTCTCCATGTGACTACAAAATTTTGATTGTGCTTGATCACACATTTATATTGATTTTAACTTCAAGTTTCGACTTCTTGCGTTTGATTTCCATTGTTTCTACTCGTTTGTTTTAGAAGTATTTTATGTTTTGTGAATTATAATTTGTTCATATTAATTCCAGATTTAATATGGTGGATGATGAAATTCCTGCGATAGTAGACAAAGGTTGTGACAGGAGTCCCAGATATCGGGGTCAAATATGTCTGCTGTGGAAGCACAGGCTTTAGTTTGCTGGGAGTTCGTGTCTTACGTTCAGCCAACAATTTCTTCCTTTCACGTTATGATTTTTGGGAGGAAGGATATAGCTACTGAATGGATATTTCTTTCTATGGCACTTTCCACTTGGTACTGTATCTCCACGTAATCTTCTGTGTTAGGTATTGTTCTTTTTCCCAGGAGATCTGTGGTAAGTTTTTCAGTGTGTATTCCTCACTCCCAGTAGGTATACCCATGTTTAACGAGTTTACGTGGATGGACCTAATTTCTGCACTCGATAATTTAGGTCATTCGAGTCTTCTCTGCTTAGTATTTGGTAAGTTAGATTTTTATAATCCTTTTACCAACTAAATTAGTTTAAACTTGCATTTAGTGTTTAGTTATTACTTGTTTTTTTTTATTTTTGGTACACGTATGGATTACTGTTTGGATATTTGTAACTTTGGCTCATTTTGTGGGTGTGTTGGTTCATTCTTTTCACCGTTTATGTTATTTAGTTTGTAAGTTCCTTTTTCTTTACTACTAGTCACATCTAATTGTGGATTAGATTTGTCAAAATTTGTTATTGTTCACTGGGTATCTTTTTTATTCTCATGTTCTTCAGGGTAGGTTTGACTTTCATATTCTTGGTTTTATAGATTCTTTGGGTGGAATTACATATTCAGTATTTATGGGTCTTTTTATCTTCTAAGTTTCTTTAGTGGTTTTGTACTTTAGGTGTTGCTTATTGTTGATAGTTTTAGGTCAAATTTCATAGTTTTGCAGGTTTGTTATTTTATATACTTTGTAGACTCTACAAATTTGTAAGTTTTGTTAGTAATGAGTACCTTCTCTAAATATGTTTAGCTTGTGTCTTTCTGGCTGCACTTCATGAAAATTCTGTGGGTTCTATCTGAAGGTTTCTGCCTTCAATTCTGCTCCCCTCTCTTTCCACTTCCCAGATCTCCTTCCCTCTTCCTCAGGATCGTACCTCCACCAGCTGTCTTGCTGAGTCTGTTCGAGACTTGCTAAACAAAGATGCTATCGAACAGGTGGTGCCCAATCAACAGGAATTTTATTCCCATCTATATGTTGTCCCCTAAAACACGGGAGATTGGAGATCCAACATAGATTTGTCATGGAGACACCTTGCTTCACATGGAGTCCTACCTATCACTTTGGTGTATTTTTTTCCCTGGGACTTAAGACGACCAAATTTGATGTGATGGATGCCTATCTTCATATTCCAATTGCCTCAGTGTCACATTGTTTTCTTTGGTTGTACCACGAAAGTTCTGTCTTCCAGTTCTTGGTGCTGCCATTTGGTCTTTCTTCAGCTCTTTATGTGTTTTGTCGAGCGGTATATTTTTTTAAACACATTTTCACTCGCTGGGTCTTCAATATCACCATTCAATGGACGACTGGCTCCTGCTTGCCTCTACCCATGCCCTGTCAGTCAAGCATACCTGCTTACTTCTTCGAGATGCTGCTTAGGTGGGGTTTCTAATCAAGTTGGAGAAGTTCTTTACTACCCCCATGCAATTTCTTATTCATTTGAGGGTTCTCTTCAATTCACATCTCAACTTGATAACGAAGAACCCACTTTTAAGAAAATAAAAATATAACTGTATGATGTTTTGACAAGACTTGTCTATACTCTACGTACGTAACGTAGTAGGAGTAGTACGAAGTAACGTTACGTTACGTTAAACTAAACTAACTAACTAACTAACGTTAACTTAAAA